TTAGCCTCAAATAGTATTTCTGGCCCTTTAGTCTCTCCTCCTCTTCTCTGACTCTGGTAGTGAAAATATTACCCTTCTTGATTTTGTTCCAGAGTGACATTTTGCAGTGAGACCCCTGTTCTTTATTTTTCAATTCTATCACTGAATTGTTTAGGTGTGTAACATCCATTTGGTACTCTTTGAAAATTTCTGGCTCATCTATTCTTCTCCCAATTTTGGGCAGTACCTTTGTAACCACTACTTTGAACTCTTTATGAGGTAGTTTATTTATCTATCTCTATCTCTGTCTCTCTAAAGATTTTTCCTTTTCTTTTTCCTCTACTTCTGTACTTGGAATCTATAACTGTTCCTCTGCCTCCCAGTTCTGCCAGATTATTGTATTTGCCTCTAAGTATTAGACCACCTGCCTGTCCTGTTAATACAGTGGGAAGAGACATGAATTCAAATACACAAATTTCACAGTAATGGAATAGCGGTTTAACTATGAATATGGGCATCAACTATACATTCATTAAGTTTTGAATTTAAGATATGATAGGACTTCTTTTTCTAGTGATTGAGAAAAATAATCAACAGATTGACTCTATGAAGGAGAACTTTATTCTCTAAACCCATAAAGGAATGCAGGGAAAAGTCACAATGCCTAGCTTTGGGTTTGTAAATTCAGGTTATTCATTTTTATTTTTAAATGTAAAAATGTTTCTAATATATATATTTTAGAAAAGTTTTGTGTATATATGTGAACTTAATAAAAAGAAAGAATATAGCTCTTTGAGTTTGTTGTTAGGTAGAACAAAATCTGGCAGCCACCTGGACTTGTTTTGGTCACCAGAAAGTACCCCAACAATGCACATCCAGGACTTCGCTGATTCATCACTATTTTGGTCCAGCCCTCAAGTTATTTGTACTAATTCTACATTTTGCTTTACAATTTTAAAGTCTCTCTGTCATTCTGGTTTCAGAACTTATATAATGCCACAGGAACTCCAACTAATACTACTTCCTTGATTCTAAGATTAGATATATGTATACATAATGTTTCCCTTTTTTCTTTAAAAGAGGGATTGCAAACATACAGCAGGAGTGTTCCATATACTATCTTCCTCAGCTTTCTTTTGTCTTCATACAAGTCTCTTTCTGTAGAATAGCTCTCTGCTGCCACCTTCTGGTTTCTGAGTGCTACAGACAGGCAACGGGTCAAAGGTGATGGTTTTATTGCTGGCTCTCCCCAGCATCTGGGATGCTGTCACTCCTTAAGCCTTGGCTTCTTTTAAATTCAAGAGATGGTTTGATTTCTTTAAATCGTTTTCTAGAAAAGTAAGAATTTATTAGTTGTGAGAAAGAAGTATGGAGCACAGAGACTGTATTATTAACAAAGAAAGCTTGCTGACCCAGCTCTAAAGAATATAGAAATAGCAAAGATAGGAAGCAATGACAGAGTTTTGTATGAGAGAAAGCACACAAAGAAGGAAGAAGAGTGGAAGAGGCTACCCTCCCGGAAGGAGAGCTTCTTAAAGGTACAACCCTGTCTCAGTGGAGGGTCTTTAAGCAATCGCCTGCCAGGTGCAAGAGAAACTTTATGGGGTTGAATGGAGTTTCTGGGCAGAGGGTGTAAGGTGAATGTGTAATTGATTTACCCACAGGCCAGGTGACAGCAGTTCTGTAGGAAAGAAGAAAAAAGAATCAGATAAGAACTTGGGTTTGAAATGCTTGTTTTATGAAAATCTTAGTACCCCTCTACTGCCCTCTATTGGCAGAGCCTCGGTTTACTTCAGCTGGTAATAGAAAACTATTCAGATCTAACTCTAGTACCTTACCTTAGATTTAAAAAGAGTGGATTTAGAATAGGCAACAATAAGATTAAGTGCAACAAATATATAATCCACATGTAAATTTCTTCAATTCAGTCGATTGCTATATGTAACAGAGCACCATGGACTACGTTTATCTGTTAGAGCATTTAAGTTTCCTTTTATCTTAGAGTCATCTACTTTAAACTCCTTGTATTGTATTGTTTTTTAAAGAATCTAGGTCATTAACTTTACAGAATTTCTCTTAATATAGAATTATCATTTTGCTTTTGGTTACTAGATTCAAATTAGCCACTTTTGGTAAGAATATTTCATTGTTAATAATTGGATCAGTGAAATACAACAAAATACATGGTTTAAGTTTCTCTCATTGCTAGCGTGAATAGTAAATATAATGATTTGGTTGAAGGGATGGTGAACAGATATTTGCCCATTTCCCAAATATGATTAGTAAGTACTCAAGTGGTATTTTAAGAATATGTAACTGTCTTTGTCGAAAATGTTCACCCATTGTTCTTGACATATTTAGTGATTAATGAATGATTATTGGTTAAATATTATCAGTGTGAGAAATTATTCCTTTTACAGCAGATTGATTGGAAAAACTCAAAGGTCTGGTGGAAATTGGGTATAGGTCACATTACTGGAAAGACAGTCTTCCTCTGACCTGTCTGCCAACCTCCTGTTCACTGAATTGTGTTTCTTTTGCTATCTGTTTTTCTCTTTTATGTTGCTCTGTGATATCTAAGAGGTATGTCAATTTTCATTGAAGACATAAGTATTCCTGGGTGCAGTTTCCTGTGATTAACTGTTAAATAATCCTCTTGGTAGCAAAAAAACAGAGCGTTCTTTGATATCATCTGGGTCCATCTTTTAATTCCTTTTTAATTAAATACTTTAACAAGTTGATCAAATCTACTTATCTTTTATCACATTAGAAAAACAACTACTTTTTCTTTTTAAATCATCAAATATGTCACTGTATAAATTGATGAAATGTAGTTACATCCTTAGGTGAAGTGATTTTTTAAAAATTATTGATTTCTTTACCACCTTTCTATTTCTCTATTTAGAGTTGTCCTTTTACTTTTAAGAGAACATAATCCCTCCCCCCACCTTTTATTGAAATAACATTGCATTTTAATTTTATGTAAATTTCATTTTTGCTTCACTCAAAATCAACATAACTGCTAAAAGTCTGATTTTATGGACCCAAACATTGTCCCCTTCCCTTCTGAAACAGTGCTACCACTATGGTTAACAGAACTGTTCTTATAGTATAAAATCTATTGTTTGTATATATGTATTAATGCATGTGTACTTATCAGCTGTCTTATTTAGTCTACCTATATGTTTTCTCTGCAATACCACATATTAGTGAAATTATTCAGCATTTGTCTTTCTCCATCTTGTTTCACTAAACATAACGCCTTGTTTGTTTCACTAAACATAATGCCCCTGAAGGGCAACATTTCATCTTTTTACTGCTAAGTAAGAATCCTATTGTGTATATGTTCTATAATTTCTGTATCCATTCATCAGTTGATAGGTACTTAGGTTATTTCTAGTTCTTGGCTATTTTAAATAAGGCTGCAATGTAAATGTCATCTTGAATTAATGTTTTCATGGGGAATTTCCAGAAGTTGGTTAAATGGATCATATGGAATTTCTGTTTTTAAGTTTTTGCTCTCCATAGTGCTTTCTACAATGGGGCATCAATTTATATTCCCAATAGCAGTGTATAATAGCGCCCTTATTTCCATATTTTTGTAGCCCTTATTTCTTGTCTTTGGGTGATAGTCATGCTTACAAATGTGAGCTGATGCTCATTGATGATTTTATTTACTTTTCACTAATAATAACTGATGAACATCATTGGCCACTTTGGAGAAGTTTATATTGAGTTTTATAAGTTATTTGTGTATTTTAGATATTAACTCCTTGTCAGAAGTATGATGTGCAAATATTTTCTCCAATTTAGTAGGATAGCTATTCATTTTGAAGCAAGTTTCTTCCAATATGTAACAGCCTTTTACTTTTATATAGTTCCATTTGTTTAATTTGGTTTTGTTTCCCTTGCCATTTGTAGTTGAGACCATAAACACCATCCTCTAATACTGATGTCTAAAACTAATATATAGCCATATTGCCTATGTATTTTCTATACATTTTGTGGCTTCAGATTTTATGTTCATGTCTTCAATCTATTTTGAGTTACTTTTGGATAGTGGCCTAGTTTGTTTTGCATGTGGCTGTCTATTTTTCCAGCACAACTTATTGAAGGCACTTTCTTTGCTCCATTGTATGACCTTGGCTGCTTTGTTGTAAATTAGTTTTCCATACATGTGTGTTTTTATTTCTGGATTTTCATGGACTTCTGTACTGAGCATATTATATTGTTTTTATAGACTCTTGGATATGATGAGGAATTCAGTAATGAAAGGGATATTGGAGACATTTCTGAACCTCTGTCTTTTCTCTATGCATCTCTTTTGAATCTAAATCCATGTCCACTCCTCTCTCAAATAGGGAGTTCCAGGTATAATTCTAGAAGGAACTTCTGAAATACTTTTCTGTTTGGCCAGATTATACTGTAAAGTACAATTATGAAGAATTTAAGACTATCCAATTAACAGAAAGATAACATTTGCATATTAACTTTCAAGGAGTATTTTTTAAAGAAAGAGAAAATTAAACAAACAAGGAATTGAACAATCAACTAGAGAATTTGATTAATTCTGTAAAGTTCAAGCTCAAATTGTATCTAATATCCAAGGTTAATACTATTTATATATATTTAATAGTTTAATATTTATTTGTTTAATTATTTAATATTTATTTGTTTAATATTTAGCTATAGTAATATTATTTAGTAATATTAAAATGTGCTGATGTTTATAAAAGGTATTGAACACTGTCTAGATGATCCTTTTTGATTTTTTTGATATTTTATTTCAGAGCTATGAAATATAAAGTGAATTAAGTTGAAATTCTATATATTTTTTTCTTGTTTGTACACTTAATAACTTTGCCTCAGATAATACCAAGTTGTTTTCTTTAAGTAATAATTATAATGAATATCTTGCTTTTAACTATATTTAGAATATATCTTGTGTTAGCGTTATTGTTAGAAATGTTTCTGATATTTCAATAAATTAATTTTTTTTAATTTTTAAAAATAATATATAGGGTAGAGAAGACTTCTTGAAAAAATTCATCCGAGGTATAGTGGCCAATGGAATAGCAATTCAGGTAATCCTAACTTGGTTTCAATGTTTTATTCTTCCTTTAATTTGCATTTTACTTAGCATTTTAAATTTGCCTGTAATGAGGCATCTTTTCGCTACTTGGTTTGCAAGCCAGCAGTTTTCACTCTGTAGCTGATGACAGTTGCCCTCTGTGTACAGCGAGCAGTGTCTGATCATGCATAAAGGAACTGACCTCCCATATACATATCTCATTTTGTGTCTTAATGGGAATTTCTGCCAGTCTAGTAAAAGGGCAGTGGACTCTTAATCCTAAGTGTCTTTTTAGTTCGCTTTGTGATGATGTTATGTTTTCTTTACTTGTGGGTTTCTTTCAATTAAATTTACAATTTTAATACTGAAAGAAAAATATGCCTTTATATTCCTGTATGTAATTTGTAAAATTAAAGCATGATAACTAGCAAAATAAAATTTTTAAATATCTTTCCCACCTATTTTGGGAAGTCAGGTTGGGTACTTTGATTCCTGCCATGTTTCTAAAATGCCTCTTCTTAAGAAATACATAAACACATGCAATTATTGTTATAAGAAAATTATGTTAAGAAGTCAAAAATAAGTGTTTTTTTAAGACTTATTTGAAATTATATACTTCTCTTGTTCACCTTATTTTTTAAGATTTATTTATTTATGCATACAAGAACCGGAGTGCAGACCAGAGGTGCAGGGGCAGGGTGTGATGAGAGGATTCACCAGAGACAGAATGGCAGAGCAGAACAGGCAGATGTACTGAAATGTGCTGCTGAGAGGAACAGCAGGCGAGACAGAAGATCCACTGCACCATATGGGCCAGATCTCTGGCTACCCAGGGATCAAACTCATAGTGCAGCAGTGACTGACGATAGCTTGATAAGTGCTGTTTTTAAATCCTGCGCCACCAGGGAAGACACTGTTGTTCACTTTACAGCAAGATTTCAAAATCATCCTGCCCCTTTTGTGTGATATGTTGCTTTTACCTTCTTATTCATCACTTTTATTTAGTCTTAGGTTACAGGGATTTTATAGATGTTTGTATTGTGTGTGTGTGTGAGATTTTATAGATGTGTGTATTTTGTGTGTGTGTGTCTATTTTTCAATTTATTTTCTTACATCATTGTTCTCCCTCCATGTGTCATCCCCATAGTTCTCCCACCACCATAGTACCCATGCACTGTCACCATAATCTGTTGTGCCCTTCCCTCCCCCATTTTGACCCCTCTCCTTCTTCCTCCCTTGCTGTTTCCCTGAATCTAGGAGGTTTTGTCTTTTTTCATGCTCCTTTGTTCCTATGTTCCACCTGTAGGTGAAACCATTCAGTATTTTTCTTTTTCCTCTGGCTTATTTCACTTAGCTAATACCTTCCAGTTCTATTCATGTTGCTGCAAATGGCGTGCATTTAGCCTTTTTGATTGCTTAGTAGTATTCCATTGTGCACACCACAACTTCATCATCCATTTCTCTCTTTTGGGGCATTTAAGTTGCTTCCATATCTTAGCTATTGCAGATAGTGCTACAGTTAACATAGGTGTGCAGGTTTACTTTCTAATTAGTGTTTTTATGTGCTTTGGGTAGAATCCTAGGGGAGAAGTTGTAAGATTATAGGTAGATCCATAGTGTCTGAACCAGTTCTCATTCCCACCAGCTGTGTTAGAGGTTCCTTTTCCTACACATCTTTGCCAGCATTTCATGTTTCCAATTTTTTGTTTTTATTATTATTATGAGCCATTCTCTTGGTGTGAAGCAATATCTCACTATGGTTTTGATTTGAATTTCCTTGATAATAATTGATGTTGAACAGTTTTCATTTGCTTGTTGGCCATTTGCATTCTTGTTTGAGGTGTCTTTTAGCTCTTCTGCCAGTTGAGATTGGGTTATTTCCTTTGCTTTTGTTGAATTAGGTAAGCTCTTTGTAGATCTTCCATATTAATCCCTTATTGGTTGTATAGTGTACTAATATTTTCTCCCAAGGAATTACACATATTTTAATGTTTGCTGTTAGTGTATACTCTAAGTGTGTTACTTTAAAGTGTTTAATTTTTATTATTTACTATATTTTTCTTTCATTTTTTATCAATAATTTTCTGTTTTTAAAATGTGCTATAGTTGTACTAATTGCACTTAATGATTTAAAAAAAATTAACAGAAAATAGTACTGCCTAGCAAGATAGTGGCCCATTAAATATTTAGTTACTTAATAGCTAAATGAATTGTTTAAAATTTCTTCTGGCAGAAAAGACTGCTTGCCATTCAAGATGAACAGGCTCTTGAGAGGGAAGCACTTATGAAACAGAAGTCAATGTATACCATGATACTCTCACAAATAGAGAGACCTTTGCTTCAGCTGGAACAAGATGCTGTCAAAGTCAAAACTATCTACAAAGAACATTTTGATGTAAGCACTTGTAATTAACTCAGAACAAATTTGCAAAAATATTTAGGTCATTGTTGTGCATAATTATATGTGTACATAATTACACATTGTTACCTGGAAAATTATTATTTCACAAGGGAAGACATAAAAACATGGACAAATATTACCTGAAACCCCATACTCCATCTTGGAGCATAGTTAGGAAAAGTAGTTTTCAAATGGGTGAGCAGTGATTTATCTGGTATGATTGCCTATTTTGATAAACTCAGGTCAGAGCCTTCACTGCTTGTTAATAAAATGCTAGAGCTATGTGTACTCACATATAAAATATAAAGCATCTTGACATTTTCGTGGAAAATTTTTGATGCATGTAGGAGAAGTTAAGACAGCTAATGTGAAAAATAAAGCAAATGTTGATAAAATATTTTCAAAACAACACGTTTATGGCAGTAACTGATACTACTAGCCCTTCCCAAAGAAAAATATAGTAGAAAAATATGCATACATCATGTCATTAGTCTTTTAGAGAAGTAGAAGGTGTGGTAAGAGTTATACATTCTTGTCTTTTGCTGCAGGGAGGACATTCATTTGGGTCAATTTGACAGCTGGGTTTTTTTTTCTTTACAAATATAACTTTATATTCTTAGTCTTTACTTTTTTAATTTCCTTATTTAGAAACTTTGTGACTTATAAAATATTGCCATATGGAAGTTTATTTTGATCTTCATAGCCTGCCTATGAAATAGGAAAGAGTTTACTTGTATCAGAAACTTGGATCTGAATACCTTAAGCAATTTGTACAAAGTATTAAATATAAGCAATTCTCAGTATATTACTTAAGGCTTCTAAATGCTTTATAGTACTTACCTACTGAATACATAACTTGCACTATCACCTAACAAGTTATTTTAATATTACTGTATTACTTATAGGAATATACTAATGCTTTGAAAACTTTATTTAGATTATTTGTATATGATAGTAAATTTGAGAAAAAAATGAATGACTATATGTCCCTTGATTTCATAAAAGCCATTGTTTTAGACCTTATAGTCCAGTAATCATTTTTGTTTTTATTATATATAATAGTTCATGAATTACAAGAATGATTAACATAATATAAACTCTGAGAAAAAATAAGGTTTTACATATTTCCTGTAATTTTTATTTTTGGTTAAGATATTTTACATGTGAAGAAAATTTGTAATTTCTAAGTGAGCCTATTGAGTATTCCTACTCAAGTAAACTTGACTAGATTGTGTTTTTCTTAGGAAACTCAAACTGAATATTGGGATTGTACACAATCTATACCATAATATGTTTCTGTAATTCATAATTGGAAGTCTTTTCCCTTAATACCGACATGAATAATGGTATTATAAAAACAGTCTCTTGGGGACTATTTGGATTAAACTAGATCATTATATAGTAAAGTCTGCATATTCTAATATCTGAATGTCTTATAGATCTTGCATGATATAATTGAGAGGCGAGACAAGATTAAAAAAAATGTGGAAAGAACAAAAAAACAACTGCGGAAAAGGGGAAAGAAAACCCGTAATGAACTAATGGTAGCTGAGGTAAGAAATTTAATATAGAAAACAGTTTTAAATTTCCAATCATTTGATGCCAATGAAAACTATTCAGGCCAATTTAGTTTTTGGTGTATGTGTCTTATTTCTAATTGACTGAGCTGAGTTCACTGTGGATGTGTGGTTGTACACACTAATAATCTCTACGTCTTTATTTTCTCTCTTGTGGTGTTTTTCTCATAGGTGTACAGCATTCCACCCTCCCCCCCTTTACTATCCCTTAAAGTAGACATAGGAACTTGTTGTGTTTCTACAGATGAGACCAATGCACAGATAGAAATATTTGCTAATATTTGACATCTAAAGTTTACCCTCAGCTTGCTAGTTAGAGAGCATTAAAAAAAAAAAGAGAGAGAGACTATATCTGGGCCCACTCTGGTAGTGCAGCAGGTTAAAGCACAGCACTAAGAAGCTAAAACCACTTCAGCATGAGTCCATCCCCGCCCCAGAGGGGATCCACATGGCATGGCAGACCTCTCCTGACCCATCTGCCCCCTGCTCCTCTCAGCAGTGTACTCCATCAGTCGGCCTGTTCTGCTCCCCGCTCTGTCTCTGGTGAATACTCTCACTGCCCCTGCAAAATTGGTCTATACCCCAGTTTTGTATGTATGAATAAATCTTTTAAAAAATGACTATATCAGAGGAGCTAACCCATTACAAATAGCTACTCCCTTCTAAGTGTCATTGCTAATATTGTCTTTAGGCCATCGTTTGTCATGGAAAAGTATAGATAGTGCACTGTATTCATTTATGTATTCTTAAAGGATGGATATGATTTTTAATTGTTTGATTTCTGTGAATCTCTGGAGCAGTTAGTTAATTGTTGATCAAATAATTTTACTTATTTTTAGTTGAGATAATATTTGGATACCACACTAGGAATTGCCACGATAGTACATTCACCACCAAATCTCCCATATCCCACCACCATAGCCCATTGTTCTTTCCCTCCCTTTCTACTCTCGATGCTTCAGTTTGTAATCAGCTTTCAAGTGCTGCTATTTAAGCTTATCTTTATCTGATTGCTTATTGCTCTGTGTTTCACATACTAGCGACACTATCTAGCATTTCTTTTTTCTGGCTTTTTCTGTTAACATTATCACTTCTAGCTTCATCTGTGTTTCCACAAATGTTCTTAATCCACTCATCTGTTTTGGGGTACTTAAATTTTCCCCATAATTTAGCTATAGTAAATAGCACTGTAATAAACATGAGAATGCAAGTTTCCCTTTGAATTAGTGTTTATAATTTTTTTGATAGATACCTAGATGTGGAATATCTGGGTTAAATGGCAAATTCATTTGTAAAGTTTTGAGGCATGTCCATACTATTTTTCATAAAGGCTGGACCAGTGTGCTCCCTATCAGCAGTGTAGGAGGGTTCCCTTTTCTCCACATCCTCGCCTGAACATGTTATTTCTGGTCTTTTTGATATGGGGAATTCTAACAGGTCTGAGATGGTATCTCACTGTGGTTTTGATGTGCATTTCCCTAATGATAAGTGATGGTGAATATTTTTTCATGTGCGTGTTTGCAGTCTCTATGTCTTCTTTGGAAAGTGTCTGTTTAGTTCTTCTGAACATTTTTTGATTGAGTTACTTGTTTTAATTTGTAGATTTTTATGATTTCCTTGTATAGCTTTGATATCCATCCTTTGTCAGATGTATGAACTGTGAATATTTTCTCCCATTAAGTAGTGTTTTTTTTT